TGTTGTTGTTTTATTTTTTGAGACAAGGTCTTGCTATGTAGCTGAGGTTGGCCTTGAACTTACAATCTCTTCTCTCTGCTCCCAAGTGCCAGGATTATGGATGTGCTCTGCCATGCCTTGACAGTCAGTATTTATATTTTGATTCTGTACCAGGTTCTACAAAATCCTGGCTGGAAGATTTGGTTAGCATTCCCTCCCACTTTCTTTAATTTCTAACACTGTAAAACCCCAGAAGGCTAATGTTGTATTTTAGTAGTTTCAAAAGTCTTCCGGGAAAAGGAAACAGGTGGATATAGCAACCTCAAAAGCATAAATGTAAACAGTGCATGTCTTCTGGTTCTCTAACAAATGTACCACAGATAAGGCATTTAGTTTGGTAGCCCATCCTAAATATAAGACCAAATATTCCTGTTTTTATACCAAAGCCATTCAAATACCTTTCTCAGCTTGTCTACATTTTGTTAACAGACCTAACTATTTGGATATGCCTGAAAAAAAGATAGAGATTTTTTACATTCTATTTTTCTAGTTTTCTTTATTGTGAGACTTATAGGAGACAACATAGCATAAAGGAACACTTTTCTCAAAGGTAGTTTAAAATTGAATCACAAGTTAAAATAAGTCTCTGGTGTTCAAGTTTGCATCTTGTCATAGTTCTACACAACTGTAGCATCAAATGCTTGCATACTGGCATGACTTATAGCCTGCCTGAATTGGATCCAGATAACAGGCTGCAGAATATCCTCACATAACATCTGTCTGCACTGTGACACTGCTTTGAGCAACTGTCATTTCTTTGTCTATTTAAGTAATTAGTTCTAAATTATATAATGAGGCCATCAAGTACTGTCAAGTCCTTCCTTGCAATTTCCCTCAAGTCATCCTTCCTCCCACACTGATAACTGTCATGGCTAAAACTAGACTGCTACTACAGTCTCCTAACTCTGCCTACCTAGTATTTCCCACAGCCAGTGCTGCCAAAACAATGCTCATGAATTAGCTCCTTGCACACTCCATTCTTGAATTTAAAACAAAGCACCACACAAATCCACTTTGGTGGTTCCCTATCTGCTATATGAAAAGCCAAACCATTCAGCCTTCCATTTAAAATCTTTTAGAACCTGGGTCTGCTCTAGGCATTCCCACTGTAACCGTCCTATTTCTTCTCACTGAAAACCAGCCTATCCACTAACTCCTCTATTCCCTTGCTCATACATTCCCTTGCCTCTTATAGGCTTCGCTCAGCCTGTTCTGCTGTCTGGCTTGCTCTCACTGCTGCCCTTTTACCTAGTCAAGTACCACTTGTCTTTCAAAGCCAATCTAACATTCTTTCTTCATTGTCTATAACAAGTAGAAATGTTCTTTTCAGCCTCTTGATGTAAAGCAGAGTGCTATGAAAACCTACTCATTTCTTTGACATGTCATATTGTTAGATGGGCCCATGCTCTTCACTAGATTGCATCTGAGGGTACATCTGGTGATGTGCTGCTACTTCATCTTTTGGTTCAATGTTATGTGCACAGTAGAAACTAGCACATATTGACTTAAACAGTTAAAAAACGTTACTTATTCACCCATTCAACAAATATTTGTTGAATACCTCATATGTGCAAGGCACTGGTATAGGCAATGAAGAGCAACATTTGAGTGACGATATAAATGAGTCTGGGAATGAGGAATGTGGGTATCTGGAAGAACAATCAAGCCAAAAGAACAAGTGCTAGGATTATGAGGCAGGAATGTGCTTGATGTATTCAGAGATGAACAAAAAGGGCAATTTAGGGGAATGGAGGGAAGAGAAGAAGAGAGGAGGGAGGAGGGACAGGAACTTTACTGGGAAAAGTCTTGAGAGACATTAAGGGAATTTACCTATTACCACTAGTGTGATGATGTGAAGGGGTGATGGATGTGACTTGAGATTAAAAGGATTAATTTGGATGTTCATTGAGAACAGGCAGATGAAGACAAAGAAAGAGGCAGGAAGATCAGTGAAGGAGGCAATAAAATTAATTAGGTGAGACATGAGATTTGGACCAGGATGGTAACAGATGGCAAGAAGTCATCTAACTTCAGGCATATTTTCTAGGAAAACCTGTTAGGCTTTGTTAACAGGTAGATGTGATATAAAAGGAACAGAAGAATCAAGGATGACTCCAAGGTCAGACAGGGCTAACCTTACAGGAATGGGGATAAGCTTGGGGGGAACAGGTTTGAGGAGGAGAACTTCCCAGATATTGGACATGTTAAGTTAGAGTAACATATGGAGAGATGAAGTAGCAGTTATATGCAGAAGTCCAGAGTTCAGAGAAGACAGAATGAAAATAAAATTTTGGGAGCTGTCAGTTACAGATGGTATTTAAAACTATGAGACTAAAATCAAGGGAGCAATTGCAGACAGAGACAAGGCCCAAGAACTAAACCTTCAGGGCCCTTAGGAACCAGCAAAGGAGGCTGAGAAGTAACAGTCAAAAGCAGGAGAACATATCAACAGGAGGAGAACAGGTTGGGAGTTTGAGATCATGGTCCATGTATGTGAGGTTGGCACTGATTCAATAGAGGGAATTCACTTTCTCCTACATAGGACAACTGTGGTACACTTTGGACAAAGACTAAAGATAAGCAGGAGATAACACACTTTTCTGGAAATTTTTGATAATAAAATATTGAATGAGTTCTATTTCATACCAAAAACAAATAGTATGATATTCAAGTTAGGGGAGGATTTTTTAACCATAGTACTGACATTATAGACCAGGAACCTCTTCATTATGGGGAACTGTGCTATGCATTATGGGATACTTAGCAGCACTCCTGGTCTCTCCCCCACTAGAAACCACGGCCCAAATCCTCACCTCCTCATTGCGAAAACCAAAAAAATGTCTCCCCAAACTGTCAAATGTTCTCTGGGGACAAACCGTCCATAGTTGAGACCCACTGAGCAATTAGAGCTCTCGACAAAAGCCAACTGCTAAATATACTTTAAGGATCCTTGCTGCCAAATACAACCATTAATTTCTTTTGACTTACTCTCCTGTGTTACTTTCCTCTTCAAGTTTTAATTAGCCACCTGATTTATAAGGTTCTAATGGTATTCACACCCAGAGTGAGGAAAGTAAGCAATTAGCTCAACCTATCATTTAAAAATAATTTTTTTTGAGATTGCTCAGGCTGACCTTGAAATTCCAAGCCTCCATCTCCCATATGCTGGGATTACAGGTGTGTACCACCATGCCCAGCAAAAATGATCATTCCTGCATATCCATTTTCATAGCAGCGCTATTCATTACAGTCAAAGTGGAAGTGTTCAACAGATGAATGTATAAACAAAATGCAATGCATTTATACAACAAAATATTATCCAGCCTTAAAAAGGAGGGAGGTTCTGATACATGCTACAGCATGGATGAGCTTGAGACACTATGCTAAATGAAGTAAGTCAGTCATTCAAGGACAAATACCATAGGATTCTGCTTTTATGTCATAAGACAGAATATAAATAGTGATTGGCAGTGCCTGGTGGGAAGAGGGAAATGGGGAGCTGTTGATTAATGAGTACATTGTTTTGGTTTCACAAGATGATGACGTTCTGAATAAAAGAAGTTCTGGATAATGGTTATCCAATGATATAAGTGTGCTTAACACTACTGAAATATACATTAAGAAATAGTTAAAAGGGTAAATTCTATCTTCTGTGTTTCTTGACCACAATTAAGAAAAAGAAAATGTTGACTCCAGAATCAGATCATCTCGATTTGACTACTTGGCAGTATGCCCAAGAGGTACCTGGCTCCTAGTAAGTACTTGGTAAATGTTAGCAGCTAATTCTAAATAAACACTTTAAGTTGGAGGATACCAAGTCAGTGTGCACATCTGTCAGGAGCCATGATTGCTGAAAGAGAAGGCAGTTTATTAAATAAAGTTTGATAGAAAAAAATGACTATTTTGATAATAAAATCATTAAATACAAAATAAGGTTAATCTCTCCCTCCAAAGCTAGGTCCTCTCCTGTGGATTGATTATGTCATTTACCTTAAAGATCCAGATTTTTTCTGTATTAGTTTTCCAAACCTTAAAAAATAGTTAAATATTCTATTTTGTGTACATATAAATATGCATATTTTCCCCTTAAATGATCAACAATCCATGCTACACATTACCTTATTTATAAAAAGGTTTTCTTTCTTCACTGATTTCAGCAATTACTTGTAGAATCCTACACTATCTGAAATTTTGACTCTCATTCATTTCCTTCCTAATATGCCTTCTCAAAACAATACCTAATTTTAACAGCAAAATTAGAGTTAAAGGTGAATAAAAGAAAGGAAATGAAACAGAAAAGATAAAGTCACAGAAAGCAAGAGAAAACCCAGCTGTCCATTTTTGGTGGCAACCAAGAAGTAGACCAGAAACTACATTCTTTGCTCTCAAGGACAAGCACCATGGTCATTAGGACAGAAAATGAGAATCAAACCCAAAGAAAACACAAGTGCCAAGCACAGATGGAGTTTCAGGAACTGTCTAACCTGCATGGGATTAATCTTCACCGAGCGTTCAAAGCACTCCACACATTCCTGAAACTCCTTGTTTCGAAGATGAAGGAGGGCTTTGGAGCGCTGGGACCGAGCACTGCGGTGCCGGGACAGCTCCCAGGCCTTGTCATAGCAGGAGTGGTCTTGAAGGACATCTCCAAGCAAGCAGTATAAACTTGGCGTTTCTTTTTTCTCCAGTTCTTGTCTAAGGATTTCTTCTGCCTGAAAACAACAACAGAAATAATGAAAGTGCTTAATTGTTAGTTACTGTTATTTTTTTAGCACAGATATCTCTCTTACCCACATGAAATAAACATTTATTTTCAACATTTGAGATTACTTGCTTATTTTGTGCATTTAGGACACAGGTTGCATGAGAGGCCTAAGAGAAAATAAAAATGGTACAAGTGAAAAAGATGAAGACGGAGTAAGAGGTGAGCCCTGCTCTACTGGCCTCTGGAAGCTCAATGCACCAAGGAGAAGCTTACTTCATGATGTCAGGCTTCCTGTTTAGCTCCTGGTTTCCCTGCTCCAGTTGTCACTACTATGACCAGTGACTTTAATTCACCTCTCCCACAGCCAGAGAGTTTTTCTTTTCTTTCCTTTTCATTTTTTTTTTAATATTATGGTTGAGAAGCCTGTGATTGCTAAGAAATTTGTAAAAGAAGGGGGAAGATACAACAGGCATTGCTAAAATCCTACCTATTAACCAAACTATATCTCACATCACAGATAAAACTTGCTAGCACCAGTCTTAGCTGATTCCAAATAGTACATTCACTTTCAAAACTAAACAAAGTCCTCTATACACTGCTCAGGCTTGGATACTATTCCCATATGTCCACAATTCAGAACCACCACATCATTCACACCAATTCTGAGCTTTTTACTATTTATCCTTTACTTTTCCACACCCAATGTTTCTGATAAATTTCAACAGAAAACATAAAGCATGATAATCACCCTACTTTGCAACCTCACAGTCACAAATTCCTACACACACACAGAAGAAGTGCCTTATTACATGGCAGAGGAACTGCAACAGTTGTTTAACGAAGGCGGGTAAGCCTAGTACCAGTGACTTCATCATGGCCAGGAGTAGAAGAGGGCATTGATTATGAAAGAGCAAGACTCAAAAATTTAAACAGGGACATTTGGGATGATTCAGACAACAGAAACTCCCAAACTGAGCTGAATGCCCAATGCCAGCAAATAAAGATTAAGCATGAATCAGGAAAATCTTCACAATGGGAAATGCTACTAAGGTTACAAGATTTCACCTTGTTGGGTTACTTCTTCCACCAGCCCCTACCCTTCACACCTCTTTTAAGAATGAGGAACACAGTAAAATCTGTTACCAAACTCTATCAAGATGTTTTATTCCCTGGAAAGATGGGTGTGAAGGGCTAAAGGGGGACAGCTTCCTAGGGAAGGGAAAACTATAGAGCAGTGACCCTGCCTCATCTAAGCTGACCTCTTTCTTTCTTCAAATTCCTATCCTGCATTTTTGTGTTAGATAAGTTAATTTTTTCTCCTTGAGATCGTCTACCTCTTCCTCCTCCCAACGGTATTATCTTTGCCAAGGGTAGTGCTTGCAGGCAATATATTTCCTTTCTTCAACTACTCACATTCCATTTCTGTCTTCTTCATTCTCTCCAACATGTTTTACTTTCCACCTTCCTCCTCCATTTATCCACTTGGTTTATATAATTTGTCGCCAAAGGGTGGGGGGTGGACCTATAAAAGATGTGCCCAGTGAAGATAAATACAGCACAAGGGCACTGTGCACAGCCTATGTAATATTACTTTTGCAGTATCAAGATATGAATGACAAGAAATCTTCACAGAGTGCAAAACCTTTGGTACTTCTAGCTATGGGTTGCTACTTCCCTGTGGGAAAATACAAATGTACAGTTTCTCCAAAGAGGGAAGAATTGCTGTTGTCAATTGTTAAGTAGATAATTATATGACTGAGGCAATAGGAGCCAATGCAGTGAGGTCAAAGAGAAAAATAACTACTGATAATAGAAGATTAAAGCTAAATTTTTTCCATATAAAGCTAATTACAAACCAAACATCAGTTTTTTTTATAAGTATGGAAAATCACAAGAAGAGTCCTAGGAATCTCAGAAAAAAGTCTATATAAGATACAAACTGAGGGGAGTATTGCTTTAGAGCATAGCAGACAAAAAAATATTTAACTGTAAATATGTATGTCAAGTAGAATTTGACGTCTGCTTACTTGTCTGCCTTAGCACCTGACACGGCATCTTGGATACTCTGTTCATGTGTCTCTGTACTATCAGAGTATATTCACCTTGGAGGTAAGCTTTATCTCTTACTCATCTTTGGAATGCCACTGCCCCAGTTAGAGAGTAGGTACTACACAAATGTTTGGTGGATGCAAGTGAAACCCGTACTAAAGTCACAAAAGGCTAATGGTTTTTTTTGAAGGGGCTTCAGATTATTCCTATTTGGGAACAAAGGAAGAAGTGCTATACAGAACATGCTCTGACTGAAATCAGTACTGAGTATCACTGCATGACTAAGTTAGGATAGATCTAAAACAATCTATATGATTAGCAGAATCTGAATTTTATAGGCCCTCCTAACCAAGTGATTATACCTATAAAATAACTCTTTGTAGGACCAAAATCTACAAGAGCAACACTGATGGCCTGAAAGGAGATTCTGAGTGTCTTGAGGGCTTCCTCACCCTGATGACACACATGTTGAGAGGTGACTGAGAACTGAAGGAGTTAGTATATTGAGGGTCTCGCTATATTTGGATTTATTTACATCTATGACACTATAGGTTTTGGGGGGGGTTATTTACATTTATGACATTATGGGTTTTTGAGAACTGCTGGGGATCAAACCCAGGGCTTTGTACCTAGCAAGCTAGTCTCTACCACTGAACTATACCCCCAGTCTATGAACAGTATGTTTCTCTGCAAGCTGTATGGGAAACCTGAGCAAGGGAGCCCTAACTTAAATACTATTAAGATTCCAGACAGCAATCAGTCTGGGACAAGGACTTGGATTTGGGGTAAAGAATATGGGTGAAAATTAAGTTCAGTCTCTAGTGGAAAAGGGAGATAAAAAGCTTCAAGAAAATTATTCATACTGGATCAAGAAGTAGTTATCAAAACAAAATGCCCTTCTCGGCTGTGAATTTGCCTTGATTTTGTGAATTAATGGAAGGAATTAAAATTCTAATGTGTGATAAGAGTGGCTCTCATCTGGTCTTGCATCTGATCAGTATAGAGAAGGGAAACTGGCAGACCAACAACTATAGAAAGTCCTCCTGGCAAAAAATAAAGGGGAAAATAGGGCTATATGGCTGAGAATGTGTGGCTCAAGTGGTAGAGAGCTTACCTAGCAAGCACAAGGCCCTGGCTTCAATCCTCAGTACTACCAAAAAGAAAAATAGGGAGGAGATGGAGGGAGGGAAGTCCAGAGACAGAGACAGCACCAGTTACAATGAGTGTCTTTGAAGACTACAGAAATAACAGGCTTAGGCTCAAAGGGGATGGAAAAAAGGCAGTGTAAGAATTTAAGTTAGAGCTATTAGATTTGGCCTCCTGGAAACAGCTTTGAGAGTAAAAAAGAACAGCATGTATGTGTGTTTGTACACGTGTGCGCACGGAACCGAAACACTAACTTCAGACTTCTCCCCTGAAGTACAGCACAAAAGTGGACTCTGATTGTCACTACCACTCTATTATTATAGAGAGTCTCTGGTTTCCAGAGACAGCGTGGCTGATGCCTGGGAAGGTTCTCAACCATCCTCAACACTGGGAATAGGAGGACAGGGGCAGACATAAGACAGTACCAAAGCACCTTCTTCTCCTACTAGGAACAATCCTTCTAGCAGAAAGGCAGTTTCCTCTTAGTCTGAATTCTTGTTCTATAAGCAGCAACTGAGAGGTGAAAAGTGCAAAGCACTTTGCCCTACTCTAGCCAGATCCTCCCAGCCACACTCCATCTGTGTGGTGACTAGTCCTATCCACTGGCTCACAGAGCCAACTGTTCACTAATTGCTTTTTACATTCATGTGTGCAACAACACCATGCTCTGGCTTGATTTCTCAAAGAGTACTTGTCAACACAAACACTCCAGGTCCAAGATAAAACAGAGTAATTTAAAACAGGCCCAGTTATCCAATTAGCTGATCACCTTCTGTTTGCATCACCAAGTTGTAGAGTATTGTCAATTATTTTACCTTTATTCTCATTCGAGAAAGCACAACAGGTTTTAACTTACAAATTTAATATCTAATTTTTAAGGAACTAAAAGTAACCATGGTGGCAGGAAGGTATGGGGAAAGGAATGCAGGCTTTAAATGAAAGGAAGTCTGTGCTCAGATTCCAAAACATGCCACTTATAATGCTATCAGAAAAGTGACAAAAACAATTCATACTTTGTAGGTGGTTATGACACTATATGTCAATTACAAAATAATCACATAAAGAATATAGTAATAAGAGGCATTCAACAAAATTGCACTGCATAACAACATATAGTGTCTCTACCATTGACTGAGCAAAAATAAAAATTCTAGAAAGTTCTCTTTCTATCCTTGAGTTTAAAATGGGAAGTGAAGACTCTTGTAATTTGTTTCTGGAGACAGAATAGCACAGCAGCAGTTGGAGAGGTATGTTCTGCCACATGTAAAGTCATAAGGAGTGTCTTGCTTAGAAATCTGCTTCACTGAACTAATCATTCAGTGAATATTTACTAGTCATCCATTCAGCAAATATTTTCAAGTATTTGCTATGTGCCAGGTCTATGCTAGATTCTGGAAACACAACTCTAAATAATATAGACACGGGTCTGGTTCTTAAACAGCTAACAATTAGTAGGTCAGATAAGCCAGCAAATGGGGTATCAGAGTAGTTCACAGGAGAGCAACAACAAATCTGGGAGGAGGGAGAGGGATGGCTCTCTGTAGAAAGTACCACCAAGGAGGACCTGAAGAAGAAACAGGAGTTGGCTGAAGAAAGACATGTATTATAGACACATAAGAGCATGTTCAAAGGTCCTCAATTGAGAGGATGTAGCAAAGCAAGGCAACTACAAGTTTAGTCTTGAGTGTGAAGGCAGATGAGTATAATAAGAGTAGGGCAAAAATGCAGTGGGCAACAGAAGCAGAAGCAGATCATGAAGCATATATAAGCATTCATTCTCAAGAACTTGGACTTAATCCTGAAAACACAAGGGAAGTTACCAATGTGGGGATGACATGATCAGGTTTTTCTTTAGGATGAACACTCTGCCTGTACTATGGGAAAAGGGCTCACAGAAAATCTTCCAATTTGTTTGAAGAAACTCTATCTTAGAAGACAAACTCCAAAAACAAAATCCAAGCAACTGCTAAAATATCTCACCTATTTTAGAAATATTTACTTACAACTTAAAGAAAAATAAGTTTTTAAGATTCCATTGTTACATGATCTACAAATATGGAATAAAATGTATGGCTACATAATCTCAAGTAAGCCTTACCTCCCAAAGACAGGAAAGGTCCCAATTCTTATCACACCTGCACCCTCACCTCCAACTAACCTTATTATAGTTCAGAGACTAAATTTGCTCAACAAATTCACTTAAGAACTTGTCATTGGGCCAGGTGTGATGACTCAAGCCTATAATCCTAGCTACTTAGCAGCCAGAGGTCAGGAATATTACAGTTCAAAGTCAGATCAGGCAAAAAGATCATGAGACCCTATCTCACTGATAACTGGGCATGTGCCTATCATTCCAGCTACACAAGGAGGCATAAACAGGAGGATCACAGAACAGACCAGCCTGGGAATAAAGCAAAACCCTATCTAAAAAATAGCACAAGTCTGGGCATCTATGGCTCATGCCAATAATTCTAGCTACCCAGGAGGCAGAGATCAGGAGAATCACAGTTCAAAGCCAGCCTGGGCAAATAGTTTGAGAGACCCCATCTCGGAAAAAAAACATCACGGGAGGATTTCCAAGATGGCGGCTAGAGGGAGGAAGCAGAAAGCAAGCCTCCTATAGTGAAATCTTGGAGAGAAGCTGGAGACACACTTTGCAGGCATAATCACCGAGAAAAGGCATAACTGTGACCCCTACACATCTCCAGCCGGTGCAGAGACTCTCCACCTCACGTTAACCAGAGAAACGAAGAGGGCCCCCCCCAGGGCGCCAGTAGCCGGCACCCATAGGGCTTGGGAAGACGCGGACCAGGAGTGCTTCACAGTACTGCGGTACTCCCAGAGACAAGCCTGCGCCAGAACAGCATAGTCCCCCTAGACAGACTGACGTCCACCTGGGGAAAAAAAGAGAAACTGAGTACTAAGCAATAAGAACAGTTAAGACAAGCTGGAAAGAGGGTGGGGCGCCCTGAACGCTGAAGATTGGGCGAAGGGAATCCTTCCCGGGACTGTAAATAAACAAACCAGGTGGCCGGAGAGGCTCTGGCGGGAGTGGGACGCGCGCCCAGCAACCAGGAGCAGGACGCTTGTGAGAGGAGGGAAGACCCACTTCCCACTGTAAACAAACACGGTGGCTGGCAGGAGCAGCAGCACCGCCCAGTAAGCAGTAGCAGGAAAGCTTCTGAAAGTGGCAGTGGGAGGAAAACTTCAGAGGAGAGGGGGGAAGACCCAC